TTTTTAGGGTTATTAACAAAGTATATGTACTCAGACCAGTAATATTTGGGGTCACAAGTTTTTGCCATGGATATTTTCTGGGTCAGAAGATAAAAAGTTTGGAAACCACTGCTTTAGGACACTCCCTCTTTTTTTTTTTTTAATCAGTTTCATTTTCCCTTCAGGAACGGTCAGCTGACAACAAACAGTGACAAAAGGAAGTGTTTGTGGTGTTTTTCGTATAAGGTATGTTTTTATACCTTTTTAGTCACATAGACTGTGACAATATTGTGCTGCTAAAAGTTTGATTCATGTCATGTTGAAATCTCCAGAGTTTGCAGCCAAAGATTGAGGGGTTTTATAGTTTTCGGATGGTTTAGTTTCAGTTTCAGACATGTCCTGAACTACAGGCCAAAGACAGACACTTTTAGGGGAGATGTTAAAAAATAAATCGGTATAAAAGATCGGAATGGCTCAATGTGAATCGAAGGAAGGGGGGAGTGGGGGCTTAAACATGTCGGAATACAGAACCTCCACAAAAACCAGCCAGAGTTTAACTTTCTGTATTCTATTTTACCTAGAACTGTGTAATTTTCAATACATGTTTGGCACTTGAGCACGACACAATTCTAGGCAATAATATTTCCGGTTCCCCCTAAGGTGGACCGTACCAACTCTACCTGGCTGTTACTTGATGCTCATTGCAACTTTGGAGCAGAGCACACGAAGCAGAAACGTAAGTAAATAAGAAATGGTTTTCATGAAGTACTTCTCAGTTTATCCTTCAGAGTTTCTGTTTTTTTTTTAAAATGTGCTATCTAAAAGCTGAATTAAATGTGCTGTCCTGCTAAATTAAAATTGAGCTAAAAACCAGTGTGAGCTCAGGGGTTCCTCAAGCCATTTGGGTCTGGGGACTTCTTAGTTACATGGGCGAAAAAAATTCCAGGGACCCCCTCATAAACCTTTTAAAAGATCATTTTAATATTTTAAATGTATATAGAGTATATTAAAGATTAGTATTATGATAAAAATCAAGAAATAAAATCTGTTTTTGATCAGATGGGAGCCATATTTAATATGCTCGAGCAGTTCAGACTGGAGTCCTACTACAACCAGTTTCTGCAAATGGGTGTGAAAGATGAGAGAGATTTCCTGGATGGAGTGACCGATGAAGATTTGCACAACATGGGTAAGAAGAATGGACTGGCTGCAACTCAGTAATTCCAACTTAAATTTTCCTAATGATGAAATGTTATTTTCAGCTAAGTGGAACTGGACTTCAAATTTTAAGTGTTAAAAATGAACATTGGTGCACAAACTAAGCTAAACAAAAAGTTAGCTTCGCTAACTCATCTGCTAACTTAAATATATATAT